TTCTAAAGCTTTTTAAAGCTTAAATGCATCTCTGAATTTTATAGAAAGGCTTTGTGGCAAATCCTGAGTTTGTTGCTTACTATACCAGTATTAGGCTGGGGCAGACTCTTGGTTGTCTCATTTCACAAAATAATGCAAACTAAATATTCATATCATCGAGAGCTGTCTGTGGGAAATCTTGCCATATTAAATGTGCTTTTTGGTTTAATTCCTTCTAGTGTTGCATTAAAATTCATGAACATCTATGTAAACAGAAAGTTTCCTTTCATCATTCATTAAAAATAACAAAATGCACCCAAACAGCTGAAATTCTAACATCACATGGAAATTTTTAATGCATATATCCACATAATTACAAATACATTCCAAGAGTGGTTTTGGGTAGGATCTATTCAGAAATTTGTTTGGTTTTATTAAATTCATTTGAATACTGAAGTGCAGTGAAACAAAGTGCCCAGTAAAGACAAATGAGAGGATAAATTATATAATGAAGTCAGCTTGACAGCTTAATTAATGAACAGGTTTTCTTTACATGAGTTAAGTCTTCCATGCTCTGTCTTGAGCTGCTTGAAAAAGTTTTCCTGGCAGGCTCCAAAGCTGATTCCTTCTGCCCTTGATAAGAGACACATAATGCAATTTATTCTGGTCCCAAACTTCATCCAGGACATGAGTTTGCCAAACAAACAGAGTTCCTACAAATAACTCCTGGCTGACATTTGCTTTAGGAGCACACACAACAAAGGCAGGAGGATTAAAATGCCACCAGCAGGAGCCTGAAGAGTGTTTTCTCTCCAAGGGCTTGTGGGAGGTGCAGATTTTGTTGTAGCTGCTGCCGTTGGCACTGGATGCTTCTGTCTCCAAGGGGTTGTGGGGCTGGAGCTCCTTGGTGAGCTCATGTGAATTTTACCGAGGTGTCAGAGTGGATGAGCATCAATAAACCCTGTCTGGATGCTCCTGCCCAGGGAAAAACAAGGGAGAACCCAGGTGAGAAATCTGATTTGACTTTGGAGGGAAGCTTGTACTTTGAATTTAATTTTCAAATGCTCTGACCTATTCCTGCTCTGACAGGGAGGAACTTCATGCAGCAAGCAGGAGTCATCTGGGGAGCTGTGACCAGATGGAAAAAGTCACATGAGAAAGAGAAAAGTTCTGTATTTCTCTCTTGGCCAAGGCAGCATCACATTGCCTTTAGTAACAGCCAACAGCAGGGAGTGTAGGAAGAGATGGTCTGAGCAGCAGAGTGGGGATTTTATCTGACCCTATGGGAGCATGAGGGAGTGTTGAGCGCTTTTTGAAGATCCCATTCCTAAGGAGCCAAGGTTGGCCTTAGCAGGATGAGTTAATGTTTGTATTTAACTTCTCTCTCTGCTACTAAATTACGCTTTTCCCCAAAACTCCAGTTATAGTGCCAATTTCCTCTGAATCCAGGCCAGAATTCGAATTTATAAATAAAAATAATGAGGTGTAACTGGTATTTAAGGCTCCTCTAAGGAAACATTTCATAGCTCAGTATGTCAGAAACACGTTTCACAAATTTGAATTTTCCACAGCCCAGAACACACCACTAAACTGATTTCAGGATAATTCTGAAGTTAAATCTTCTGTCCAGAATCCATCACTGGTTTTGTTTTTCCTTAAAAATCTCTTTATTTTTAGGGGCTTTACCTGGTGTGGCTGTGCTGGAGGGAAGGGAAGCATTCCCAAATCCCTGCCTCTCCCAGCTCAGAGCCTTCCACACACCTAAGAGCAAGGACTGTACTCATAAAATGCATCACTGGGGGTTTAAATCCTCTGTCAAGAAATTCAATTGATTCCCAGGGAATCCAATTTTGCAGCAGGAGGACTTTGCTGTCACCTTGTGAAGCTGCAGTGTCCCAGGCCATGGTGGGATGAGCTTTGTGTACAAACATGGCACAAAAGCTGGGCTTAAGAGAGGAGTCTGGAGCTTTGTGTAAAGACAGAGTGTGAAATAAAGGTCCCAAACTCATGCATTGACCAGAAACATCTCAGCTCCCACCACATCCTGTTCCTCTGGGAAAATCTGGCAGAACTTCATATTCCATCTTCCATCCTTCATCCTCCATCTTCCATCTTCCATCTTCCATCTTCCATTTTTCATCCTCCATCTTCCATCCTCCATTTTCCATCCTCCATCTTCTGGCTTCCATCTTCCATCCTTCATCTTCCATCATCCTCCATCTTCTACCCTCCATCCCTATTTCCCATCCTCCATTTTCCATCCTTCATCTTCCATCATCTTCTATCTTCCATCTTCCAGCTACTATCTTCCATTTTTCATCGTCCATCTTCCATCCCCATTTCCCATCCTCCATTTTGCATCCTTCATCTTCCATCCTCTACCTTCCATCATCTTCCATCCTTCATCCTCCATCCTTCATCCTCCATCTTCCATCTTCTATCATCTTCCATCCTCCATTTTCCATCCTCCATTTTCCATCCCCTCCATCTTCCATCCTCCATTTTCCATCCTCCATTTTCCATCCTTCATCTTCCATCATCCTCTATCTTCCACCCTCCATCCCCATTTCCCATCCTCCATTTTCCATCCTTCATCTTCCATCATCTTCTATCTTCCATCTTCCAGCTACTATCTTCCATTTTTCATCGTCCATCTTCCACCTCCATCTTCCATCCCCATTTCCCATCCTCTATTTTGCATCCTCCATCTTCCATCCTCTACCTTCCATCATCTTCCATCCTTCATCCTCCATCTTCCATCCTCCATCTTCCATCTTCCACCTTCCATTTTCCGTTCTCCATCCTTCATCCTCCATCTTCCATTTTCTATCATCTTCCATCCTCCATTTTCCATCCTCCATCTTCCATCTTCCATCCTTCATCTTCCATCATCCTCCATCTTCCACCCTCCCTCCCCATTTCCCATCCTCCCTTTTCCATCCTTCATCTTCCATCATCTTCTATCTTCCATCTTCCAGCTACTATCTTCCATTTTTCATCGTCCATCTTCCATCTCCATCTTCCATCCCCATTTCCCATCCTCTATTTTGCATCCTTCATCTTCCATCCTCTACCTTCCATCATCTTCCATCCTTCATCCTCCATCTTCCATCTTCCATTCTCCATCTTCCATCCTCCATTTTCCATCTCCCTCCTCCGTCTTTTATCCTCCATCCTCTTCCATCCTCCATTTGTTTCTTCCATCCTCCATTCATTTCCTTGAAATTTTACTCCTCCAAATGCACATTTTCATCAGAAATATCTCATTTTGCACCGAATTATTTCTTTTAATTCTCACATAACCGCTCTCTGATTCTGTGGTTTCAATCCATTGCTTCTGCACCTTCACAAAACAAAAAAATCCCAGGGAATTACTCACCTAAAGGATGTCCATGACTTATAAACCTTGTTGAAATAGGACCGAAAAAAAGCAGTTCAAGTTCACTGTATTTTAGATAATTTTATAAGAATCAACTCTAATCTGTAATCACTTTTGTAGGGATGAAAATTACAATTTTTTTTATGAAGCAAAATGCTTATTACAACTAAGGAATGGTAGTGGTGAGAACATGTGAGAAAATACATTTAATTGAGAGAACAAAGAAGGAAGCAAAGACAAAAGTAAGAAAGAAAGAAAGGAAAGCAAATTAGTTTTAACACATGAGAAGTAAAATATTTTAGACATTTAAATAAACAGAGCTCTCTAAGGCAACTTCCAAGCTTTTTTATTCAATAAAGCTTTTTTATTGAATGTATAAAACCCCTGCAGCAACAGTTTTAGTTTCAGCATGGGAAGATGGAAGGAGAGACAAAAAGCTCCCAAGTGCTTTATTAGCTGCCAGCTCTTCTCGGAGTGATTATAAATAAGAGATATTTCTCATGAAATAACTTCAATATTTCACCAGGAAAAAATGATTCTAATTTTTTTTTTTCTCAGACCTTAATGACTCTCAAATTTTGAAGGCTCTTGTGAGCTATGAAAGCTTTTATAGTCATGAAAGAAATACAGCAATTTGAATTTTGTATTCCTAAAACCTTGAGGTGGAGATTGAATCAGATGTTCAAGAAATGCCTTCTAATAATTAGAATTTTTCCTCTGGAAACATGATAAAAAATGACACATGAGAAAATGAACAAATTATTATTTTTTTTTATTTCAAGCAAGGCTGAGCCACTGCTGTCAACTCCTTACATTCATTGTATTTTAATATTTTCCTCTGTTAGGAATGGGAATTCCTCAAATACACTTTCCATCCAAATCCTTCTGCTGGGTTGTTGCTCTCAACTTCTGAAGTCTCAGTTTATAATTATAATTTCAAATATGTTCCTTTGAATCCCCATGGTGTATTAGAGACTGGATTAAAAAAATAATATATACATATAAATTAGTGGAGCATAATTTACTTAAAGTCCAGCTGAAGGAGCTGATCCCAATTGTTTTAGGTTTTCAGCTAGAGCTCAGTTTAAGTCACTTTTAGTATTATAAAAGGCAAGGAAGCAGCTAATGAAAAAGAAATGGAACAAATTAGAATGAGAATGAATGTAATTTTTTTTTTTTTTTTTGGTTTAAAGAAACCTTCCCAGTGTCTTTAGGGCAAATCAGGTTAAAACAAATCTTCTGCAGTCGAGTACGAATCATTTGGAACTTTTTCTTGGAGTGGCCAAGAATCATTTTCTCAGGATTATGTGATTAAAGAGATCAAAGTGTTCATCACTGCTTTAAATAAATGCCAGCAAAGCTCCATTATTCCAAATGCAGCAGAGCAGGTCTGCAGCTCTCCTCCCCCAGCCCAGGACCTGCCCCAAAATGCCCTGTGCTCTTTAATTAGAGAGGGAAGAAAATAATTTTTCTGTAGGAGCAAAAAAAGGCAAAAAAAGAGGGGCCCTTTGGTCCCTCTTTGCTCTCAGCTCCTCCCATGAGGATTCAGGGGAATTTTGGGGACAGAAGTGGCACCGGTGGGAGCTTCCTGGCACTCCAGGGATGCACTTTTGCTGCTGTCCAGCATCAATAATCCACAGGAATGGGGATTTCTCCCTTACCCTTGCAACTAGAAAAAATCTCTCAGGATTATGTTCACCAAGGTAATTTTTGTTGGGATCAGAAATGGTTATTCCAAGCTGTCACAAGAAAAAGAACTGGAAAAACTTGTGTAACTTAAATTTATTTTATTTTTAATGAATCTTAGAGCCTAAATTAAAATAAAATTAAGAGGAAATTATTCTTAGTCTTATTCCCACATTCTCCCTTTACGTTGTAGGGAGTATTTCTATGATTTACATTTAGAGAATGCAGATTCCTGAATTATTGCCTTTTACTGGTGGTGCTTTTCTACAGAGTTTATGTGACAGTTCTTCACTTTTCAGTCTGAATCCTCCTGATAATATTGATGGGAGTCTTTGAGCCATTATTTTGAACACATGCAGGGGAAATGGGGAGCTGATCAGATGTTTTTGCAGAAAGCAGCCTGACAATTCCCAGTTGCCAGGACTTTATCACCCTGGCTGCCACGATCTGAGCTCTGCACTGCTGGAACAGTCAGATAAAATAACCAGCAGAGAAAGGGAACCATCTCCAGGAGCTGAGCTGCAGATCAAATCTGACTTTTTATAGAGGTACATGACAGATCTGAAATGAATATTATTCCAATCCATTATAAAAGTGAAAAAGAGAAGTTGAATGGAAAATGGAGTGAAAACCATTTTTTAAATGCAGCTGGAGAGTTGTACTTGAAAAGCGTCTGGATGGTTTTGAAGCCCAGGTTTTAAAAGTATTTATGGCTTAATTTCTTATTAAAGCACTTCATGTTAGTGATACTGTAATGACTTCTCAGTCCTGGAGAGAAGAAAAATAGAGAAACCAGGGCATGAAATTCAGTGTGTTTTCATGGATCACACTTTGACAGTGCTCCCCTTATTATGTCTGAACTTCTAATATTTAATTTAAAAATTCCAGAAAAATTTAAAAAAACCAACCAAAGAAAAAGCTTACTGTTTTGTTTCCTTAAGGTTTTTGACTGATCCAGATAGCTTCATAAAAGGATGTCTTAATTCAACTTCTTTTTCAAAAATAGGTTGTAAATGCACAAATCCAAGTTCTGCAATACAAAGTGAAAAACCAACTCATCACGTTCACAAGGTAAGAAAATATCCAACCAATGTTACTGTCACTTCAAATGGGCTTTAAAATTTACATTTTCTTCTGACTTAAAAGTTTGTATCTTCTTCTTACTATCACATTTTTGATTTTCACATAAAGGTGAAGTTGAAAAGATGAAGCACACTTTTAAACTCTGAATTGTTCTTTCTTTTTTGGCTTTTTTTTAGGTTTTTTTTTTTCCATTGAAAACTTTGAAAATCCGCAACTGGCTGAGTACATTAGGAATAAAGTAGAATTTGTAGATTTTTTTTTTTCAGTCATTTGCCTTTTTCAACCAATCTAAAATTATTTAGATATATCTATGTAATATATCTATATCTATATCTATATAATATATCTATATCATATATCTATATCTATATCTATATCTATCTATATCATCATTTAATATATAGTATAAAATATTATATATAATAAGATATATTTATATGTATTATCTATAATATATATTATAGATAGTAGTTATAGTATAGATATATAATAATAGATGTTATAGATATATATCTATAATAGATATTATAATATATATATTTAGATATGTTATTTAGTATAAATTGTTTAAGCCAAGCTATCAGTTCTTGCACCTGTATTTTCTGACACTGGCTAGAGAACAGAGTAATGGAGAAATTGATTTTACTGAACCTTCCAATCTGGAAGATGATCCTTGCACAAGGACGAGGAATTCATTTAACATCTAAATTTATTTTATTAAAATCAAATTCCTTCCCCAACCCCAATTTTAATTTTCTGTTTAATCCATGAGTTTAATTTACAGTCTTGTGGTCTTGTCTTATTTGTTTGATTTCTTTCTCTCAACCTTGAGCTGGAAGCTTTTGTTAAATGAGGAATTGAAAAGACTCAGACAAAGGGACCTTCCTGTGACTCAAAATATGAAATACCACACCACTTCCTGTGTTAAAGAGAACATTTTCCTACAAAACCATTGTGTGCATTATTAAAAGAAGATCCACTGTCCTGGGCTAGGGAGATACAGAAATTTCCTGTCAGTTGTGGCAACGCAGAGGAACCCAAATGAAAAATAAACCCATTGAGATCATAATTCACTGCGGATTCCGGGCTGCAGAACAATAGAAATTTAATTACTTGCATTTCACAGGCTGAGCAGAGGGAATCCAGAAAAATTATGGCTCAAGGATGTGGTTTGTCTCTTTAAAAAAATCACCTTTTTGATGCAGGGCTCTGGAGTCCAAATGACTTTTCCCTCTGCATTAGGCAGAGATGCCCACCAAAATTATTTTTGTTTTTGGGAAATTCCAGCTGTACCCCAAACGCTCTTCCTTTCCTTTTAGGTTCCTTTTCATCTCTTAGGGACTAATTATCCCCATGTGTTAATTAAGCTAATGGAAGTGGCTGGTGAAGGCATCTTCCCTCTCTCAGGCACCCAGCAGCTCTGCAAAATGAACAATCCCTCGTTTGAAGGAAAAAATAACTGAAGGGCCCAGGGATTTTATGGCAAAGCCTTTTAAATAGCTTTATTATAATTACATAATATCTTCATTATAAATAACTTTATTTTTTATTCATAAATAATATTTATTATAATTAATTTTATTATAAATGCAGTTAGCTCTTACAGGAACAATCCAACTTGAGCACAACCCAATGACTTCACAAAAACCGTTTTTTACTCCATCAAGCTTGGGCTTTTTAAATAACACTTAGGAAATATGAACAAATTTTGCTCTTTTCTCAAAATGAACTCCCTCTTGTAATTTTTAGAAATAAATAATTGATGTATTCTCTCTCTAGTCACTTATGAAAATTCTCCTATTTTTTTTTCCCCAAATAAGTACAAACTACAAACTTTCATTTCTTTTAATTTTTTTACCCATCATAGTTTTTGGGATATTAAAAGCTTTGCAAAGTTGGTGCATGTCTAATCATTCTGTTCTCAAGGTCATTGCTCAGATCTGTGTCTGTATCTTTGAATACAGATATTTGTAATTAATAAAGAGAGAAGCCAAGGAAAAGTGCATGGCCAGAGGAGGTGGGATTCCCTTAAATTCTCCTATATTTGACTGGATATAGTAAAAATTACCAAGCTTTATGTGAGTGTCAGCTATTTCACATGAAGAGAAGTGATTCCAGTTCCTCTTAAATCAGTCTTTAGAGATTTGACCAATATTTTTCACACCTCAAGCATTTGATCTAAACAGGAAGGATTTTCCCCAACCCCTCCTGCAGCAGAATGTGGTTTTTTTCCTGCGGGTTGGCTGAGGTGCACAACTCTGTGCTTTAATCAGCTTTTTCCTCCTGAATGGCAACCTGGAGTGAATATTTGGTGATCATCCTCCCAGCAGCCCTGGGCTGTGCAGAGAAGTTGCTTTTCCAGAAATTCAAAGGAAATGGGGGCTGGCAGTGCCAGGGATTCGGGGCAGGCTCTGCAGGACGTGTGTGAAATCCACCTTTTGTTCCCTGAGTTGTTTCTGTCTGATCCCTCCCTCACATCTCCACAGCAGCCTTGGCATTTCTCAAAAGAATATTCATTTATTTGAAAATGCTGTTTTTGTTCAGACCAAGAACCAAAACTCAGATCCTGAATAAATTATACCAAATCCTCCTTGCCCACAATATGGACCTGTATAATCTTCTATTTCAACTAAATTTACCTTCTTTACCATTTCAAAACCTGCCTAAAGAGGTCCAAGGCACATTTGTAGTTCAGTGTCAGAAAGCAGCACAGTGAAACAAAGAGAATATTGTGTAAATATATCCTGAGATTATGTACTTTCTGCAAGCTTGATTGCATATTTTAATTGCAGCACGATCATTAAACACATCTGCTCGGAATAATTCTATTTTATTTTTTAATTAAATCCAAATTCTCGGTGTCAGACGAGAATTCTGATGTCACATTTACAATTCATTAGAGTTGTAATTAAAAGGTGCAACCAGACTGGAGAATTAGAGAATATTGAATTTGAGAAGGCATTTTGTTGCATTGCTTCTGTAACAAGCTAGTCCAGGTTTCTGCAAATAAATTGCAGATTTAACAACTAAAAAAGGTTGTTGGGACAGGAGGATTAAATTCCTTTGCTAGCAAGTCCATGGATATAAGAATGATACATAAATAATTTTAAAAATCCATATGGTGTGAATGATTCCACCTCAGTCCCACAAGTTTTTATTGTTTCTTTCTGAATTCCAGGCACGCACCCTGGAAAGTCATTCACTGAGTCCACACAAATAATAATTTGTATGAGCCAAACAATAATAATCTGGAGTAGCTGTTTAAAACTTTATTCTCACATGATGAACTCTCAAGCCAAACATTGATTTTTTGCTTTCTAGAATGTGAAGTTGCTCCTGGCTCTGTGTCCAGAGAGTTTGGTGATTTTTTTGGGATGCATTGCTCCTCTTTTCTCTTAGTGTTGATCCCCAAAATTCCATTTAAATGTGTGCAAACAGTGGTGAATGAGAGGAGATTGGGGAGGGCTACAAACAGCAGTAAAATTCAATACTTCAGGAATTTTGAGCGCAACAAAACCTTTACAAAGGCGACAAAAATAAGAATAATTATCTTTTGTCTGAGTGGAAGAAAAGCTGGAGAAAAGTTTCACAACTGGATGATGAAGGAGATGTTTTATAGGTTTAAATGCTACCAAGGCATGAAAACCAATTTATCTCCTGACAGGGAAATTGTCTGGATTTCAACGTGGGACTCTTCCATTGATGCCAATAAAATATTGTCTCCAATAACATCCATGTTATGGAAATCTTGTGCTTTGTCTCCATGCTCTGTGAATGACTAATTAAGAAGTTAATATATATGATAATTATATTTTATTTCAGATATCTTTCTATACATTTGAATTAGAAGTTAAGTCATTTTTCAGCATAAAGGATGTATATTGAAAAGAGATCATTTTAGCAATGAGATCATTCCACTGGAAACCCAGGTTTGAACAGAAATTCTTCCTTTTCAAACACAACCCATAATTCAGCAAGTTTGCAAGTTCTGTTTCATTCTTTTATTAATAGAATCTGTAAGTGATAAAGTCATAAAATGATTATATTCAAAGCCTTTACTGGAGAGAAAGGAATGGAAATCCTCTCGTTAAAACAAAGTTCCTGTGTGTGGTTTCTCTGGTGGAACGTTGTATTTGCCTCCACTGAGACAGAAACTCTCCAGCCCATTTTTTTTCCTCAAACATTGTCTTTTAAATCTTTTATCTCTCCCTTCCAGCTACAAGTTATCCATTCCTTCTAGGCTCAGTTAAATTTCTTATATATAATTCTTATTTTTTTTCAAGACAGGTGATGCCTCAGAACTTTCTCTTTGTGGAAAATTAGTTGGGTTTTTTTTTTTTGTTTGGATGTTTTATAATTTCAGCTTGGAGTTGAAACCATAAATTCAGATATTTTTAATAAAACAGTTGTGTGTATTTTATTATAAAATAGATGCCCCACTTTGATTCTGTTCCAATCTATCTTTGAGCTCCTCTTTGTGCCCTGTGCCACCAATATTTGCAGTCCCAGTGAATGTTTCACTGCTGTGCTGCAGAAATACAGAAAACATCTGATACTCCCTGCACTTATTAAATGAATTATCTCCTCATTTCTCACCGGCAGCTCATAAATATTTAGTTCTGTTTCTACATCAGCCAATAAATCAGACAGAATCACAAGCTTTACCTGGATATCACCTTACGCAGGAGCAGTTAGAGGAGAAAAATAATCATTTATTTGATGTGATTGAAATAATCAGTTTATTATTTCAAATAGTAATAAAAATTATTATTTCAGTGGGGTGGAGATGAGTCAGGCCATTAATTCAGATAACCTGGTTTGGTTTTCCTGGGTGAGTCCAGGGCTCTCCCACCTCAGGATGTGTCAGTGACACTTTGATTTTTCCACCTTGTTTGCAGAGCCCTCCACTCTCAGTCGATAAAATAACCCCAGACTACAAAAGGAGACAAAATGTCAAGGGAATTTCATTAAATATTGCTACATTTGTC